TAAAAACTGCAGAGGGCTATGGAGGGCGGCAGCTGCCAGACACAGCTGCAGGCAAACTGCACATTGCACAACCTTACTGCCTCGGATACCCTGCCTGCAGTTATGAAGGGTAATTTCTTAAGCATCAGAAATCCTCAGCTAATCGCAACAGCCCTGGCTCCACTGAAGGAAAGGGAGTTTACCAGTTCAGACCAGCTCACGAACTGCCTCAGCGCCTCTAAAGACATCTTTATTCCCAGAAAAAGGAATAAAGAGCAGTAACTGGCGGAAACTTTCATCCTTCTTCACACCAACAACCTCTATGGAAACACTTCCAGTTCTTCAGTTTTTAAGCACATAAGCCATGAAGCAGCTCGCCACAGATCTTGCCGATCAGTGGCGCATATAAGCTTCACGAGTTCCAGGAAAAAAATACTGGTTTTCTTTCCTTTGTGCTTCATTAAACTTCAGCGTTAACCAGGAGAAAAGACCCCTTTGGAAAACATTAGTCAATACGGCCACCAGTTGCTGAATTTGTCTGAGCTTAGCTACCGGCAAAACAAGCAGCTGTGAGAGTATAGTTGATACGGAGAATTTGATACGGGTGCACTAAAGAAAACACTTCTGTTTACTCCAGTCAGGAGACGTCTACAGCCAGTGCTGGTACCAACAGGTGCACAAGCCGGTACTGACATTTAACTGTACGTTGCTGAAAGCGTTGTTTTCAGAGTGAAGCTGCAGCCACAGGGAAGAGAAGAGGTAGGGTTCAGTTTTCTGCACAGGGTGGCTGTGGAAAAGCCACTGGGAGCAAGATTCACCTTGCTGAAATGTAACCATCTAAAAGTCAGCATTTCCTCTGAATTTGCTGCCTGTGCTTCCTCCCTGGAGAAGGAGGAGAGGGAATGGCACCTCCAGCAGGTGCCCCCTTCCCATCACCCTGGTAGATGGGCAGAGAGACATTACAGCTATTAGAAGCAAAGTATTCAAACTTGAAACTTTCCACTTTTTAGCTCTTGTACTTTCGAGGTCTAACTGAATTGTTATAGCTCTAAACAGTATTTAAAAACTTCAGTAGTTCACAATCTGGCCCTATGTTTATAAGGTACTACTCTTTTGAGATGTATACATGGGATTTTACATGAATTAAATCTTTTTATTCCACTCTTTGGTAATATAATGCAAAACTATTTCAGTTCCCTCTGGCCTTCATGTAGTTGCCTTTCTCTCAAAAAGAAACAACGTTTATGTGAGTCAAAAAGTGAAATGGAAAAAATAAAATCCTACCAAAGTTTCGACGTTTTGAAGACTGTGTAAAACTGCTTCAGATTGTGCCACTATTACGTGTCCTTGTAGGGAACGTGTAACTATTACGGTGTCTGAAAATCTACAAAAACACCAGAAAGAAAAAAAGATACCAATGTGGTACAGAAACTGCCAGCTCAATTAAAAAAATAAAGGCTAACACTGAACATTCAGGAAATATAAAGGCTAACACATTAAGTAACTGATTTACCTAGAAATAAAAGCAAAAACTGTTAAAAAATTTTACTTGAGGCAAGGAAACAAACTGCACTGCTTAATATAAAATATAACCATCTTAAACTATAATTTTAATGATTTTTCAATGAATTTCCTGTATTTGGTCCTAAGCCAATAGCTACTAAATGGTTCAGGGAGGAGGTTATGTTGAAAGTATGGAATGGTATTTAAACTATAATCGTTCTTCAAGTACTACATCGAATTATCTAAATCCTAATTAACAGGCATAACTTGTCTCCACCAGCCACATCCAAGGGTCACAGTGATACTATGATGAAGTGCTGTTAGATCATCACTGAACAAAACTGCTTAAACAGCGTAGTAATATCTTGCTTTCATGGAACCATGAACCATGGAACCATTTCTGGGCCATGGCAGAAGTAGTGGCAGTATTTCTCACTACATGACACAAACTTCATATTCTAGAATTCGTATTTCAGAATGCTCGCTTCAGCTTTAAGATCTATCACCATAGCTGCAAGATCAGTTATACTCTGGTAAATGCAGACACAGTTTTTTATGGCTACACAATGCACCATGGCTTTAAGACTCCCAGTACACAGTAAAAAAATTCTACACATGCATACAGACAAGCCAGTTGAGTTGCCTTATCCCCATCTCAAATGTATTTGGTGGACTAGTCTGAGACTAAATTTATCAGGGTCCAAACGGATATTAAACCAAGTCTCCACAGTTCAAAATATAATGCTCGCTCAAAACACAATCTATGGAATTGATTTTAAATAGAAGTCATTAATTTGTTTCTCACACAATCTGCACATCTGTTATTTTGCTGTCCTTTTTGGCAGATGTTACGTGCATCGTAAGATACAAAATCTGCATTAACCAATCTACTATGGAAGACAGTTTCTGAAAGGCCCTATTGCCCATGGTTATCTACAGGTTAGATGTGATGACCCAGAAGTCCTCTCGCAGCCTTACGTTCCTGCAGACGCTGGTATAACGTGAAGAGCTGAATACAACAGAGGGCATCAGCAACGGCTCCGGCATTTCCCAACTGAGAAAACAGCATTTCACCACAAACACACAGGCTGCTACCAGAGGAAATCACATATTTGAACAAGCAGAGTGATGCGTTTCAGTCACGCGTGAAGGGAAACCCAGTGAATCAGAATTATACAATGCCACCATGAATTTGCCCTTAAGAGACACAAAACAGTTTATTCTGAATGGAATAGAGTCAGTAAACACAGAAGCGTAATTTTTTTTTTCCTGAAGGTGTAGGGAGCATAGATAATTTTCCAAGAATCATAAAAGAAAGATTAAAAAACACTAAAAGAAGGAGTAGGCCTGGCCTCTTTAGTTCACTTTTAAAAGACCAAAAATTAGAACAGATGCACTTTGTTTTCGGTCACAGACTGATATTCTAATCATTCCGAGGCTGGGAAAACGAGAGATAAGAGGTTCAAATAATGCAAAATAAAGGAATAGGAATTCACAGGGATATCTGATGTTCACCACTGCAGTATGAGAGTGGCTAATCACATAACAGAGCTTGTCTACAAAGAGCTCTTCAAGAAACACTGAGATTGTTCAAGTGCACAAATCCTTCTGACTGGAAGCAGGGAAAGCTAGTTTATTATTTAAACTCTGGCAGACCTAAGAGCAGGAGCAGCAGCTGATTTTAGTTTTTAATGAATACGTGGTGCATTCCTCTTGACCACAGGTTACAGTTCTGGAAAAAGGGAATAATGAGGAAAAATAGACTCCTCCTGATGAAGGGGGAAAAGCATCCTTGGGTATCAATTTGACAATCTAAGAAGTCTGGTTTGAACTAGTTTTGAGGGGTATAGTGACAAAAGCCCATATGGAAGTAAAACCAGCAAAAAACTACAGATCAAGCAGTAAGACTGGAATTTGCAGTTTGGAGACCAGAAATCACACTAGGTCAGAGCAGACTGGGAACAGCAGGACACCAGACCAAACTTTGAGAGGCTGAGCGTCTGGAGAACACAGGCAGATGACTGTGCAACCACAGCTCCCTCTTGCACATACACCAGCCCTATCTCATCTTACCTTGTGGACCATCTCTCCCACCAAACACACCCTAGGTAGGCATATGCAGACCATGCCCTTCTACAATAACACACTGTCTGCAGCCCACTTCTACCCACAAGTCAGACGAAGCCCATGTGTAGAAGAAATTGGCCTTTCAGATCCCACACAGGGGGGCTATGCAAACCAGAAGGCAGTAGGCTGAGCAAGTCCACACTGGTATTTTATCCATAGCACTACTGGAACAGATATATCCAAGCTAGAAGCTGCCTTTTCCTCTTTCTCTCCTTTTTTATCTACATTTAGCATTGACAGCATGGGGGTTTAGTTCAACATACTTCTGCTGAGCAGAAATTCTGGAGGAGGGAGACCAGCAAGTCCAGGGTTGACAGCCTGTGTGCTAGAGTATCAACTTCAGAAGAGTCCAGCTGATCTACAGACCAAATTCCAGAACGCAGTCACCTTGCCACCCTGCTGATTACCAAGAATGATTCAAAGAAGTGATCCCTGGAAACAGAACATTGCTCTGCATCCCACAAACCTGCTGTAGCAGGATACTACAGCGTGCAAGGCCTCAGTGTCAAACGTTGCTTGACAAGACATATGAGCCCACAACATCTGACAGATCACCACGGTTAAGCCAAATTTGACAGAAGTGTATCCTTGTAGTGATGAGACTCAAGTGTGTGCTTCCTCTGACCTGGATTACCTTTGCCAAGGAAATCAGCTGTCACAGTCCAAAGCAGAGCCCAAGCATACAGCAACATAAAAGCTGCATAATCAGGAAATCAGCCCTCAAGTGCAAAGCTGAGAACATTGGAAATATGAACTTCTGTGAAGTTTAGAATAATTTTTGCTGAATATCTTTACATGTAAATGAAAGGGAAGAGAACAGAGGCAGGATGATTGCCTGGATCCAGTCCTAGTTACATGCTCTTGAGAGAGATAGGTGAAATTGTCTTGAGAAGTTATCAAGAGCGAGGTAAGGGGTTGGGAATTAAATTAACTGAGTAGCCGCTGTCAAAGCAACATGTAGGACAGTGAAAGATTTAGGAACGTGTTGAATGACAATGTTTGCTTAAAAGGCAGAGAACAATATCAGAAGGCTATCTGTGATTTCATGAAGCTTCATCTTCATTAACAGGGACAAAGTCATTAAGACAAAATGAAAAGGAGTGACTTCCTTCTAAGATGCCTAGATATTACATCTTACACTGAACTTTCATTCTATGATGATGGTGACCATGCAGGCGCAAAGCATTTTCTAGACCATTGGCTGATGTGTTGCTTCTGGATGACCCCTGTGATGAAAGAAGGAGTTTAACAGACAAACTTTCAAAATATTTATACTAAGTATGAATATTTGCACTCAGAGGAATGAATAAAATAGAAAATCCAGTTTAGACAATATACAAAATGTCCTGGAAATGTAATGCATTAAAAATATTTTAAAATTAAATATTTACCCAGATCCTTAATGAGTGATAATGCTTCCCATGATATAAATGCTCCACCACCATCATCCATAGCTCCCTGCCCAACGTCCCAGCTGTCCAGATGTCCGCTGACCAATACAATCTGGAAAAGCAATTATGAGAAAACTTATCTACATGAAAACACTGAATCAGAAAAGTCAGTTCAGCATTTAAGGATTTTAATGATTTTGTCATAAATTTGGCTTTTTAGTTTAGAACGGGAGGAAGGAAACATTTCAAATAAAACTAAAACATCGTTCTCTTAGTCACTGAATATAAATCTGGGATGACCAAATGCATCCTACTGCTTCAAATCACTGCTTAAATCAAATTAGATATGCTGTGAGAAATGTTTAAATGAAAGGTTTTGTCTTGTACATTAGCAAAGTGCATACTTCCCAGAGATACAGGACTACTAAAATGCAGAATGGTGAAAATTTCTTTCACGTTCCAGCTGTTTAAGCCCTTAGGCATGAAATTTGATTAACCCTATTTTTGGGTGCATCAGGAAGAAATATTATCTTTGACTAAAGTGTTCCCAGACAGAGGCTGTTGTTTTATTATATATCTATGGTTCTTGCCACAGAGGACCTCTGATTTATTACTAGATCCCCTATGTGCTACAACAATGACAAGGTATTTTATAGTTCCATTAGTCATAAGGATATTTTAAATTAAAAACAACATGGTAGCAAGTCCCATATGGGTTTTCTGCAAAGAAAGTTTTGGGGCTACAGTAGAGTATAGTAGTATACGTATCTCCAGGAACACCCACTTTCCGATCTGAACTCTTCAAATGTCGACAGGCAGCATCAGACCAATACCAGAAGTGAGACAGTTCCCTAACTGGACGTGAAGCTGAAGGGCTGATGGATCTATGATTGCAAAGGAGAGGTCAAGGAGGGACGAGAACTCTGAGCTGAGCAGGCTGTGTGGTAAAATGATGCAATAGGACAAAAACAAGAGCAGGGAGCTGCTGCAGTGCCCCAGGAATCTTTGAAGAACTGGTACCAGTAAAGGGTGCCCTTGGGATAGGGTGGAAGCATCCAACCCATGACAGTTCATCAGTGAGGAAAAACTGAAGGAGACCCTGGAGCATCCGCCTGTGTCCTGCCCAGAACTGGCCATACATGAAGGGACGCTTCCCACTCTCTAGTCGGCTGATGTTAAACAGGTCTCAGAGTTGTAGAATCTAGAAAAAGGTGAAAAATACTCATTCCTCCTACCACCTTCTTCTCCCTAAGGGACGAGGATCTCCTGGCATATTATCTCAGCTTTCGTTCGTCACAGGACAACTACTCCAGCACGGAAAATGAGAACATAATGAGTTTTTCTTATTATCACCCCTGGAGGGCGAGAGCCTATGCTGTCAAGTATGCAGTTAACATTGCAACGAACTAACTTGGGGCCCAGGCATGAAGATCTCTATTTTCCCCTTCTCATGAGAGAAATCTTAGTATGTTTTCACCGGTTATTAAAAATAATGGACAAATAGATCATGGTAAGACAAAAAGCATCAAGTGCTCATCAGACAACCGTGTTTTTTCATCCAACCAAATACATACTCAGGTAACACAACTAAAAGGCCCCTTTGTATTAAACAAGGAAGGGCCATGATAAATTACTAGTCATATCCATTGTATTGCCATATATCCAACCAGAATGCACCAAAACCCTTGAAATTTAGAAAATACACTGAAATGTTTATAAATGTGTATATTATAAAAAACAGAAGTGTCATGCCTTAGAAGCTGGAAAAGCTTGTGATCCAAAATCTGAAAAGCATCTTACTCTTTCCTTCTCAGATGTTTCAACTCTCTTTTTTTCTTATCCAGCCTTAACTCAACATGTGCTTGCTTTCCAGCACAGGCTGATTTTCTTGGTAGCAGACAGACATGCTGCAGCCTTTACTCCAAAACCTCTCCTCCTTCAAAAGCACTTAAATTTGGACAGCAGGCCCCCTGTGTAAAAGCCTCAGATTTACTCAGAGGAGGTATTCCTACAATTTAATGTCATGATCCTCCCAGGCCTGGCGTGAAAGACTGCAAACAACATGTTTTCCAGGGATGCTGCCCTGCAGTAGAAGGACTTAATCTGTGGCAGCCCTCTGCTACAATAACAACATAGCTTGAAACCAGATAATCTAAGAAAAGCCATGACAGATTTGGAGGTAGAAACCTTTCTGAAATGAGAGCAGAAAAGAAGTGTTCACTGCAGTACTCCTTGCTCTTATTGTTTTCTTATAAGGGAGGACTAAGCACACACGCACACGCTTGCAGGTGGTGAGGGCAATGCGTGGATGAACTCAAAGCAGAGTGCAGCCCCACTGCAACTTGCCTATGGGGGACAGGGCTCAAACAACACCACACTTTGCAGCCGACTGATGCAGACTTATTACTGTCCACTCAATAAGGAATTTAATAATAATAATAATAATAATAATATACAATAAAATAATAAAATTAATAATAACAATAATAGTTGTTGTTGTTATTATTATTATTATTTGAAAAGAACAGAAAAGGCTCTGAGTGAAAGCACAACTGTCTGCAGTATAACGGGCATCTATTCCACAACTTGAAAATCGCCATGCGGTCGGTTTGTTCTTCAAGCAAAAATTAGTTTTAAGAAGACAACTATGCACTCTCCTGGGAAACAGAGCTTCAAGCTGAAGTTATTATTTAGAACAAGTTTCTAAACTCATTGAGAGAGAACCAAGTTTACAACAGAAGCGAAGCCTTGTCTTTAGCAGTGAAAGAATACCTCACTAAGGCTGTTCCCTCGCAGCAATCTCAAGATGAGCGCCTGAGAGGGAATTACTCCCCATTTCTGTGAAACAGCACATATTGCAACAGCAGGAAATTCTGAATCAGAAGAAGGGGGTGTAATCCCATTTGGGGTTACTGACTCCAATCATAAAGCATCTTTACCAACTCCAGAACATTATACCAAAACAGATCAAGGTTCAAGTGGATTGAGAAAGTCAGATAATTTTATGGATGAACTTTTACTTAAATTTACTTAAGCTGGTGCCAAAAGCAATTACCTAAATACAACCAATGTACTTCTATGAGAAAGTTTTTTCAGAACAGTTGTTTTTTTAAACTATCATGCTTTTGTAGCAGCTGCTAAAATGAAAGTTTCAGTTGATCCTGCTGATAGCTAGCCATAGACATTCTTAAAATAAGACACAGTCATAAAATAACAAAACCACTATGTTTATCTTGGTCTTTAAGTAGATACAACGTGTCTGGGCAACGAAAGGAAATATTTCCGAAATTCACTCTAAACTACTATATAATTTAAAATAATACTACAAAATAATAGTATTATAATACTCTGTACAGGTGGGCTAATAACAAAGGCAGTTAAAGCTATCAAGGACGTATGATTATTGCATTTTCCACATTGCTTTCAAATCCGTTATGTGATTCTCGGCTCCAAATCTACACATAGACTAATCACTTACACTTGCACAAAACATCCCTATAGAAATGTCAGCACATGCCAACAGAATGTAAGCATTGCAAAGCAATGTAAGTAAGTATATGTAATTATAAGTATTTGTTTTAAATATACAGAGAAACCACAAGCGACTGTATAGGACAGTACAAATACAGCAATACACATCTGCCAAATTGACCAAAAATAAATTTAGGATAAGACAGCTTGCATGCAACATAACAACTTAAGACTTGGCTTTCCTGCAGTGACACAGCTAAGAAATGCTACTCCAGATACAGTCCTGAGACAATACAACAGAAGCGAAACTGCAGGAAACAATTCAAATAGAAGATGAGTTATTCTGTTTCCTTCTGCACCAGCATTATGATCTCTGTTGGATGCCATTAAGTCATGCCCAGCCCTTCAATCAAGCATATTGAAATATTTTGAAATTTGTATTATATTTTATATATTTATATAAATATATATTTTATATTTTAAACCCAAGAAGATTAGGAAGAGGAACCACCCGTTCACATATATTTGCATATGTCATGGAGTTATCCTTTTCTAAGCAGGATGTTTTTTGCCACTGAAAAATAATCTCCCATTCCATACGTAAAAAAAATAATCTCCCATTCCATATGTAGTCACACATGCCTATTGCATTTGTCACGCAGTAACTTCATAAAATGTAGGTGAACTACCTTCTGCTTGGTTAGAGGGAATTTTAAGAAAAGTCTATTCCGCTTTTAATTAGTCTCCGCAATCTCACTTGCTCCTGTAGGTACAAGGCAAAAACTTCTTTCTATGCAACATTAGAGATCATAAATAATAAATATTAGGAAAAAACTGTAAGTAGCATTTTCAATCACGGAATTTAATCTAGAATAACATTTGTATCAAGTTGTGAAAAACAGCATGCAAAGTTATTTCATGTCACTGAGGCAGATGGTAATGGAAGAGTAATGAAGTCATCATTCATCTTTGCCCTTCATGGATGAAGAAGACTTCATGGGTGGAGGTTAGGGTCCACAAAGTAGGATCTTTACTTATGGAACCTGGCTATCAACACATTCTCTTAGAAAAGCTTAGTAATAACTTTCATTATCCAAACCACTGAAAAGCATTTTTCCTTACATCTTCCTCCACCAAACAGGGAAGATAAGGAGCACCTTAACTTGCATGGAGAGGACAGAAAACTTAAACAAGGATCACATACACAGAGAATGGGATGACCAAGAACTATACAGGATATTAGAAACAGATCAAGCATGTTTAGCCAAGACACATTCAAACTCCAAGTGTCTGTATGCCAAAACTTCAAGCTAAAACAGTGACGTGCTCTAGACTGTAACTTGAGTTCTTCTCAACTGCTCGCCCACATTTTCAGCCAAATACTGTCATGAGTTAGTCGTTTGCTCAGGCAACACAGGTCTACGGTGTTCCAGCCACATTCCCAATTACCTGGAAACTCATGAAAAGCATTTCTATTCAAATTTTTGTCATTCTTTTTTCTCCAGTTTGCATCTAAATAGGTCCATCTTAAGCTCTAGGTATCACAATAAGGTCTTACAGTATTTGACTGGATATTTTTTCTGCATTAATCCCCTCCCAGTGCATGGGATATTTGTACAAAACTTAAACGTATGAACACCA